ATAAGGGTCTTTGGACGTGTGTGCGGATGTATTGGTGTGTGTGTCTGTGGATGTATGTGTGTGTGGGCGTGTGTCTACGGGTGGGTGTAAGTGTCTTTATGTGCGTGGTGTGGATGTATGGGCCGGTGGGCGCGGGCATGTGTGCGTCAGTCCGTGTGTATATGGGGTGAGGGAGTGTGCATGTGTGGTAAGTAAACGTGTGCGTGAGGTGCTTGTGAGTGGATGTCCGTCCCATGTTGCTATGTGTGAGAGTCGGTGTATAAGGATCTTTGGACGTGTGTGCGGATGTATTGGTGTGTGTCTGTGGATGTATATGTGTGTGTGTGCGTGTGTCTACGGGTGGGTGTAAGTGTCTTTATGTGCGTGGTGTGGATGTATGGGCCGGTGGGCGCGGGCATGTGTGCGTCAGTCCGTGTGTATATGGGGTGAGGGAGTGTGCATGTGTGGTAAGTAAACGTTGCGTGAGTTGCTTGTGTGTTGGTGTTCGCCGCGTGTTGCTATATGTGGGAGTCGGTGTATAAGGATCTTTGGACGTGTGTGCGGATGTATTGGTGTGTGTCTGTGGATGTATATGTGTGCAGCGAGTTCTGTGGTAGAGTTCCCTGTGATGTGCCACGCGGGTGTAGTAGCAAGTTTATCGACGCACTTGTAATCGACCGTGTACAGGCTCAGACTCAGCCCCATCAGCTCTTCTGACCCTTTTTATATGCGCCCCTGCGTGGCCCCGTCGAGCTGATGAAGCTGATAAGCTAAAGATAAGATATAGATAAGAAGGTAAGATAAAGATAGATAAGATAAAGCTTCTACATGAGAAAAGCGTAATTGAAATCTGTCCTAAATTATGATAAATGAAATACAGAACAACAAATAACATAGCACAACAATATAAAGAATGGATCAAGTCGACTTCCTTGTCGACAGTGCGTCTCTCTGAGTCTTTATGCACAATTTACAAAACGTCGACGATCCTGAACAGCATAACTCTTCTGTAGTTCCTTAGATTTACCTTAACCTCAATTTACCATAACTTCAATAGAGTCGCTCAGATCTTCTACGGACTTAGTGAGCAAGTCGACGAAACTGTCAACTCTTGAATTTGAGTTCCTGTGAAGGAACTCTTCTCTTACTCGCAGGTAGAAGCGCTCACTAACCATTGTAGTGTCGAGGGATGCTCCCTGGTTAGAGGAAGATGCCCATGAAACCGTTTTCCTAAAGATCTGCACAACAGAAGGCTTCAGGCTGAAGAATTGGAGAAAGATGTAGAATGCTGCTACCCGGGTAGTTCCTTTCGAGATATTCTGCCATACTCGATTGCTTTTTTCCACGTAGGTATACGAGGTTTCAGCGAACCGCCTTTGAAATTTTTCTAGCTGTCCTTCTTGTAATAATTGCTGGAGAGCACTGTCCACAGTTGATCGTATGGAGGGCTAAAATTTTAGTTTTGCGTCGATACTTGTGAATGGAACGGGTACTTCCTGACTCCACGAGTTCTTCGGTTTTTCTACCGGGTTTGTCTGATGTGAAACCTGCATATGTGCAGTTGAGTCCGCGCCGATGAAAATACATCATTAAACGCACGGTAAAAACATGGTGCTTCGTCGGTCACAATGGTGTCTGGTTCGAACGACGGGAATAGGTATTTTATCTCCAGGAACATTCGCTCGACATCTTGTTGTCATAGAACCGGCTAACAGAAAAGCTGAAACTCTTTTCCCAATACAGGTCTTAGTCGGCAGCTAGTGAATGCAATGCATAGCCCCGGCACGTCACATTCTCTGTCATCTTTGACCATCAGAGTTGCGAGCCTCAAAGTGTACCTATCGTGTTGAAGGTATCATCGAGAGATACGCCCTTTTCCGAGTATCTGACCAGCCACTCCGCCATAAGCGGTATTAACTGAAATAGAAAATTACATATTGTTATCGGTGCTGTTTTGTCCGTTTTAGTCTTACCTAGCAGGAAGCCTTTCCCTGTAGCATCTTGAGGCGGTTCGAAATATCGGAATCTGTCATCGGCATTTTGCTCATCATATCGAATTTGTAAAGAAGTCACATCATCTTTATGCCTCCATCCCGGCACTATTAACGTCTCACATTATGTAGACCCAATTTAACGACAACGGAGAGTTCCGAAGATTTCGTTGGATCTTCCTTGCGTCTTCTCTGCATTGTATTTAGCAACTAAGTGACAGGAACAGTGATGAACGTCTTTTTTGCTTGTCGTTGTCCGCTGCTCCCCTGTCGTTGTATGAATACCAGCTCTGTTGCACTGATTAAGCAGAGAAAATCGGACCACGACTCCTTTTCACATCAACTTGAAAACAGGACTCACAAATATCTCAACGTTTTCGAAGTGGGTGCTTTCTCTTCATGAGACTTATGAAACATAGGGCACGTGCGTTCACACGTCTGCGAAAACTATTCCTAATTTGGTTTATTTTACAACTCTTGAGACCACAGAATGTGTACAACACCCACAAACCTCAAAATGCTAAGTGCTTTCGAAACCACTACAGCATATTCTGTACATTCCACATAATAAGGACGACCATCCTGGAATGGGAACATATAATGGTATAACATTTTTGTGTAGGGGCTAACGCAATACAAAACAGTGAAATGGTCTGGCATATTTTGCAGAGTTTCGTACAGGACCTACATAAGTTGCTGCTCACGACACCGAGCCTTAAATTTAATTGGCGTGTTCTGTTTGAGTTTTTTCAATTTTGTTTTATTTACATCTACATTTTCGTTGTTGTTCACTTCTAGCCTTTTGTCATCTTCACCACCTTCTATTCGGACTTTGAAGCATGAGCAATACCTCAAATGTTAGAAAATTGCGTTTTGCTTGTATTGTCATGTTCTGTTGTCATGTTGTCCATTTTTATTGTCATGTTCTGTGGGAATGCGCAGGCCTCTGAGGATATTGCAGAAGCACCACAGTTGTGAGTTCTAGCCCTTGTCAACATCTTCGGTTCTTATTTTGCAGCACCTAAAATGTTGTCCGCATAAAGGAATTGCGTTGTACTTGTATTCCAAAGCGCAA